AGTGATTGGGGTAATTGGAATGTGTGTATTGGAGGCAGTGCAATTGGCACAGGACAGAGCAAAATTTAGGGCTGTTGTACATAGGGTTGCTGTGAGTCGCAGGCGACTCGATGGCACATAACAACAACAATATATGTCATTATTATTTAAAAAAATAATATTCTACTTTACTTAAAGATCTTGGTATATTTTGGTCTGATGAATTAACTTTAAGTACCTTAAGGTTCTCCTTTGTCTTCTACCACAACTTATTTTTCTTCCAAAGGACTGGCATTTTTGTCATGAATACAGAAACACTCATGCACCTATAATTTAAAATATTTCCTGTGCTCTCTGTGATTGCCTCTGTGAAGGGAAGAAAAAGAAGAATTGAGGCTATAACCTTATATAATTTGCATATACATTATTTTGTTATTAAGAAAAGAATCCTAATAAAATGTCAACAGCTATGAATTCAGAAAGCGTGGATAGATAGGTTTTTGACCTGCTTTTGTGAAGTGCTGCTATTTAAAAAACTGTATGTGTTACAATTAACAGTGGGGGGAAAAATTGCAAAGCGAAATGGCAGAGAAATGGGGAAGAAAATATGTAGGAATGAATGTATGGATAAACATCAATCTCCTTGTGAATTTTCTTTAAAATAACAATTAAAAACCAAAATTTAAAGAATTGTATAGGTTAATACAGTGACACCAATAGACTGTGAATATAGTTTATAGAGTCTCCTCAGTTCTTTATCTTCTTTCCCTTGACTGCTTATTTCTGATAACAAGATTGAGACAAAGATCTCCCACACAAAGCAGTATCAGGAGCTAGGCACTGAAATAAAGAAGAAGCTGACTACAAAATGCTGGCACTTTCCAAAGAAGCCAAAGGAAATACTAAAGGGTTTCTGTAAAACTGAGTAACAGATATTTTCTACCAAAATTGACAAAGTCCTTGGAAATGTAGAATTAGAAAAAGATTAGCTGAATGGAAGCAGCCTAAGTGTCATTGCAAAAGTATAAGAAAATACTTCAAGAAAATGATGCACAATCATGTTGATTCCATTCTGCTTCTGTTTTGCACAGGCTCACCATACATCTGTCCCCAGATGTATTTGTAGACAGAGATTGCTATTTTTTCCTATTTGCAGAACATTACCTGAGTGCCTGTATGAAGAAATGGCATTCAGTTCTCTTCTGGAGATTCAATGGCAAAAAATGGAAGCTCTGGACTCAAAAAGCACAGAAAAACCACAGAAAAGGACTAGGCTTCTGTGACGAAATGATGGTCCCTGGGATGCGACTCCAATGTGCTGCCTATTGACAGAACAGGGTATTGAATAGGTGGTCACAGGCA